CCCCAAAACCCCAAAACCCCAAAACCCCAAAACCCCAAAACCCCAAAACCCCAAAACCCCTCAGGAGATTACTAAATTTGATTAATATATTTAAAAATCAAAAATTATGGAACCTTACACTGACTCAAAGGGAGCAGGCAGTAACAACTCAATTGATTCACTAGAGAATCCACCCAGCCAGCAACAGCAGTCCACAACGGTTGGCTCTCAGGACATGTACAGCGAATTTATTGGCGCCATCAAGGTTCGAGACGGCCTGTTCATCGGTGACCAATTGGCAGCCCAAGATTATGAATTTGTTGTTACTAATAAAGTCACACATATAATTAATACCTCAGGATTACAGATCAGGAACTACTGGGAAAGCATTGGTGTAAAATACCTCACATTCGACTGGATCGACCAAGACTGCCAGATTATTCTCGATGCCAAAAACACTAATGCTAATTAAAATTTATAGTTTTATCCAAGAAGCAGCCGAACAAGGAGAGAGCTGACTGGTCCACTCTGTTAGAGGCCAAAGCAGAGCTAGCACTGTATTAGCAGCTTATTTCATGAAGAAATATAAATGGTCATTGTACAAAACAATAGAATTTTTGAATAACAGAAGACCAGACTTAGAAATAAGAGCTTCATTTATTAGACAATTGAGTTATTATGAGAAAAGACTTCTTCAAGAAACTGGAGTCCAATCTGATGCCTGGACTGAACTTGCAAGCAAACCTCACCTTGAAAATGATGAGCTCATTCTCACTCACACCTTTCTCAACGCTCAGATGGGTCCATTTGCTGATTTTACTAGAATTGCTTCAACAGAAGAGCTGAATCCTAACTCAAAACTCAAATGGATTGATGAGCGAGAGAGTAAGAAAGATCTCCTAGTCACAAACGAGTCTAAAGATGATCTTATCAACAAAGAAAGTGTACAAAAAGTAACTTCTCACTATGATAAACAAGCCGAGAAGTCTATCATTAAAGTTACAGCTGAAAATACTTTCCTGAATGATCGCATAGACACAGAAGAGGATGACCTGTCTGACCAAAAGCCTCTACGAACAACTGAAAAAGAGGATAATAAACCAGATATTAAGGAGCAGTCCCAAGCTGAACCTGAAGAAAAGCATAGTAAATCTGTTGACTTGACCACACAAAACAAAGCTTTTGATTATAAAAGCAAGAATATCTCCGACATTAAGCCCAAACAAGAGTCTGATCAGTCTGACAGCTCCAGTAAGAATCCTAAACACAAAGCTAGTATCTCGGTTGATAAAACCAAGAAAGATTCTGAAGTTAAGACTCTAAATTACAAAGGAAAGAAATCTCGAGAGGCCACGCCTAAAGAGCCTCTAAAGCCGCCTAGCGCAATCTCAAAAGTGTATGAAGAAATTCCAAACAGAGCACGGCCTTATATCAAGAAGGACTCTATCAAACTCAAGAACAAGCCAAGGGCTTCTTCTGGAAAAAGGCCTAAATCCAAGGAGACCAAGAAGCGCAGGAGGCCACGCAGCAATGACGACCGCAAACTGAAGAACAGCTCCATCGTGGGCTCTGTGCCAGGGAAGCGGACTGGGTCTCGAGGTGCATCTGAGAAATCGAACAAAGAGTTTCCGACCAATGACACTATCAAAAGAAGGAGCATTGTCAATAAATTTGTGAACAACACGATTCTGTACCAAGAACAACAATCAAAAATAGATAGTCGGAATATTTATAAAAACTCTTATAAAAACAACCCGAATTGGAACTCTGCTTCTCTGAATCTAAAGAAATACGTCAAGAAGGATTTGACTCTCAGACAACCAACTAAGAAGAAGACCAAGAATAATAAATCGCAAGCTTCAAAATGTAAGGCAGCTACCAGCGGAATAGTGCCTAGTGTTGACAAGCAGTTGAGAACATTTATCAATCATGACCCAAAGATGCTAGTGAACTCGTACTTTCCAAACGATTCGGACTTTTCCAAGTCATTTGGTTCATCTCTGTATAATCCGACCAATACTTCAATTCCTAGTGGGAAGAAGTTAGCTGCTTTGAAGAATAATTTAATAATGAATAATACGTATACAAGGAAGAGCACCGGAAGTTCTGTGACTAAATCTAAGAAGTATCAAACTTTAAAAACTATCATGAAGCCTCAATCTAAACCAGAAGTTGTGCCTAAGAAGAGATCTATGTCCCCTGGCACAAAGGTAAACCTCAAATTTTCAGCTAGTCATGCAATTAAGTTGGCCCAAAATAAGCCGAGGGCAGGGTCAAAGAAGAAAACCATGAGGTCTCCTGGCATTATTGGAAAATTTTAATAAAAGCAGTTTATGTCAAAAACGGCTTTATTTAACTTAAATCTACTCGAAAATAGTTCAATATTGCCAACTTGGTAAGGGGTTTTGGGGTTTTGGGGTTTTGGGGTTTTGGGGTTTTGGGG